GCATACACTGAGAGGTTAGGGACTATTGTGCATCATGCCTGGAATGCCAGCGAGCAGGACCAAAAGGGTAGTCTGAGCACCCCTGGTGCCCATGCCAGTTGTCGGCATACCCTTTGAGTGGATTGGGATGGACCTCATTGGCCCCCTCGAAAGAAGCAAGATGGGGAACCGCTTTATCCTAGTGATTGTAGATTACATGATGCGCTACCCGAAAGCAGTTCCCCTAAAAACGGCGACAGCACCGACAATTGCCAATGAACTAGTGAAGATTTTTGCTAGGGTCGGGATACCTGCGGAAATACTGACCGACCAGGGCACGAATGCATCCTCCAAACTAATAGCTGAACTGTGTCGCCTCCTCCACATACGGACACTCCAGACGTCTGTTCACCATCCTCAGACCGATGGCCTTGTGGAACGCTTCAATAGCACTCTAAAATCTATACTACGGAAGTTCGTGGAGGAGGACCCCTCACATTGGGATGCCCTGTTGCCAGCCTTGCTGTTCGCCATACGAGAGGTGCCCCAGGCGTTGACGGGGTTCGCACCCTTTGAACTCTTGTATGGGAGGCAGCCCAAGGAGATCTTGGACCTTCTGAAGGAGGAGTGGGAAGCCCAGGAGACACGAGTTCTTGGGACTACCCAATGTGTGTTACACCTCCGCGAATGGCTCCAAACACTAGGAGCCTTCACCCAGGAGAACCTGATACAGGCCCAAGCGGGCCAAGAATGTCTCTACAACCGTGGGACTGGAGGGAGGAGTTTCGGCCCAGGCGACCGGGTGCTGCTCTTGTTGCCCTCGGCAGAGTCAAAACTTTCTGGCCAAGTGGCAGGGCCCCTACGAGGTAGTCCGACGAGTGGGGCCGGTCGACTATGAGGTCAAACTACCGGGGCGACAGAAGGAGACATGTATATACCATGTGAATTTCCTGAAGACCTGGAAGACCAGGGAAACCCTGTTTATTGGCCCATCCACCCTGGAATCAGAAGTCGGACCCCAAGTGGGAGATACATCCGATCCAAGGCCGATGACGCTTGGGTCAGGCCTCACCCCCAGACAGCGAGAACAACTACAATGACTAGAGGGGGAATTCCCGGAGGTTTTATCCGCCCGCCCCGGACGAATGACTCCGATGAATCATCATATTGCCACCAACACCGGTCAAAGGGTGAGAGACAACCACCGGCCATTACCCAGGAAAATGTGGGACACGGTCCGGCAAGAACTAGAGACAATGCTGGAGATGGGGTTCGTGGAGGAATCGACATGTGAGTGATGCAGCCCCATCGTCTTAGTCCCAAAACCCGATGGGACTACCCGGTTTTGCATCGAATTCAGAAAGGTCAGTGCCATCTCCCGCTTCGATGCATACCCAATGCCGAGGGTAGACGAATTGCTGGAACGGCTTGGGGGAGCAAGGTATTTATCAACCATAGATCTAACTAAGGGATACTGGCATATCCCCCTCACACCAAACTCATGGGAGAAGACGGCCTTCCCTACACCCTTTGGCCTCTTCCAATTTGTAACAATGCCGTTCGGGCTACACGGAGCCACCGCTACATTTCAGTGCTTGATGAATGAGGTCCTACTCCCCCACGACCAGTATGCGGCGGCATATATAGATGACATCGTGGTCTACAGCCACAACTGGGAGGACCATCTACACCATCTTAAAGGGGTGTTGCAAGCCCTCAGAGGGGCCGGCCTCACGGCTAACCTGGCAAAGTGCCACCTAGGACAAGAAGAGGTAACCTACCTGGGATACACAGTAGGAGCGGGGAAGTTAACACCCCTAATTAGCAAGGTGCAAGCACTCAAAGAGGTACCCATCCCCAAGACAAAGAAACAAGTACGCCAGTTTTTGGGACTAGCTGGCTATTACTGCCGTTTCGTTCCGGATTTCACATCCATAGCCGCCCCCCTGTTGGACCTGACGAAAAACTCTCAGCCTTGACAGGTTCAGTGTCCGAACAATGCGAGAAAGCCTTTGAAACACTAAAGGAACGGCTCCCACAGGAATCCGTCCTATGACACCCAGTCTTCCTGAAGAAATTTATACTGCAAACTGACGCATCGGAAGCAGGCTTGGGAGCAGTGCTGTCCCAAAAAGTAGATGGGGAGGAACACGCAGTGCTATATCTGAATCGTAAACTGTTCCCTTGGGAACAACATTATTCGACAATAGAGAAAGAGGCTCTGGCGGTACAATGGGCCATCGGCGTCCTGCGTTATTACCTGCTGGGGAATAACTTTAAGTTGATCACGGATCATGCCCACCTACAGTGGATACACAGTATGAAGGATGCGAACCCCAGGATTATGCAACATTAATGGCCAGCCTGAACCTGGTTTCGTGTAAGATCTTCCATGATGCTCCTTGGTGAACCAGAGTGTACATACCAAGATCAGTATATGCTTGTAACCCCATTGCCAGTTGGCATTGAGGAGTTTTAGGGTCACACCCCCATACCAGAGTTCTCTATTCTCCCCCTCCTGCCAAAGGCTGTGTGCTGCACACCCCCATTTCCTGCCATCCCCACTTCACCCCAACCATTCTTCTTCTTTCTGTCTGGGGGCTAAGTCATTCCAGATGTCACCATCTTAAATTCTATTGGGGGAATGGATAGAGTTAAGAGAAATGGGTATCGTTATACTAGAAAAAGTTAACTCAGCCATCAGCCAGCTGTTTGAGCTCTAGACAATTGCAGAGGTGTTTGAGTCTGTGGCTGTGCTAAAGAGCTGGCAGGGGCTTCATGTGTTTCCCATTTGCCTCTTTTAGATTTCTATTTTCCTCCAAAATCAATGGGATTCTGACCATTGATGCCTAGAGTAGTCCCTGAAATATTAGAATTGATTGGATATGGCGTTGAAAAGTTGTGATGCAGATAGAGAAATGTCAAGTCGCGTGTAAGACCTTCACACAGGGCTGGGTTACCCCATCACTGGGCTCATGGTGACCACAGGGTCACAGCACTGCTCAGATTTGGCCTGGCCTCCCTTCTGTTATGATGGAGAAGCAAGTAAGGCCAAATTTGAGTGAGTGGCATTGTAACCTGGCACATGGGCTCACGACATTTCTTAGGTTTGCCCCACCTTATGATTTGGGGCCCTGCACATGTGCCTACTTGCCTATGCATTAATCCAGCCCTGCCTTCACAAGATGGGCCAAGCAGGAAAAAGGCATGTGTAGCTGTCTCACTAGTGTTTGTACCACGACCAACTAACAAGTGTTATAACTACACTTAGCTATCTCTGCACTATGATTTCAACATTTATTGATATGTTAAAAGTACACTGATTTTCCTACTGCAGACAAGCCCTGAAAGAGAGAAACAGAAGCAAAGGGTAAGGCTGATATTTTCAAACTTGCCCAAACCTGTTTATAACCCCTTTCCCAGTTGGCATTGAGGGGTTTTAGGGTCACACCCCCCATACCAGGGTTCTCTATTCTCCCTGTAGTGCTGCGGCAACTCACCCCTGCAGCACCTCCTGTCGATTGTCCTGGGAATTAGCTCTTTGACCCAAGAGCGCTCTCTGCAGGCCGGTGTCCTGCTTGCCGCTGGGCCCGAGTCCCTCCTGGACCCCGGTGCCCATTTCAGGCCAGGGTGCTGCCCCCTGCAGTACCCCACAATCTCGCTGGGTCTCCCCTCCCCAGGGAACCCCCAACCCCCTATCCCCACCTCGCCTCAGTCTTTGGTTACTGCCAGTCACCATCTAGCCCCCATTCACTGGGGCGGACTGCAGTATGTAAGCCATTCATCATCGGCAAGGAGGGTTTGGACCTGCTGCCTCTGACTACCCTTGGACTGCCCCTCTGCAACCCCAGTACCCTTTCCAGCCTTTAACACAGCCTGCAGCCTGGGGGGTTTCCAGGCTGGAGCTCCCCCAGCTCCTCTAGCCTTCCCCCAGCGCTGCTCCACTTTAGGTACTCTTTCTCAGCTCCTAAGCAGCCAGGCCCTTCTCCCTCAAGAGCTAGAGGGAGAGTCCTCTCAGCTCCTGGCTTCACTGGCTTTTATAGGGCCAGCTGCAGTCTGACTGGGGCATGGCCTAGCTGCAGCTGCTTCCCCAATCAGCGAGCCTTCAGCTCGCAGCCCCAGCCCTCTCCCAGGGCTGGCTTCAAGCCCTTTCAGGGCAGGAGTGGGTGACCAGCCCGCCCACTCCCCGGAATCCAAGAGGTACACACACACACCTCATGCCATGGCCTGTGTGCATGTCCCTCGCCCCCATTTCCCACCATTCCCACTTCTCAACCATCATTCTTCTTTCTGTCTGGACACTAAGTCATTCAGGCTGTCAAAGGAGTTAGACAAACACTTGGCAGAAATGGTCTAGTTATTACTTAGTCCTGCTTTGGGTGCAGGGGACAGGACTAGAACTAGATGACCTATTGAGGCCCCTTCCCGTCCTTACTTCTATGATTCCGTGAAACCTCTTTTTCCTTCACTTCCAGTTCTAGGACTATATTTTGGGGAAATGTACATTAAAAGGCTTTTAAAAAGATGCCAGTGTATTTAATTTATTAAAAGTCTGTTTCCTTAGCTAATTAAGAAAATAATCAATATTAATCTAACATTTGCATGTCTTTATTGTCTCCTATCGGCCCAAATACAGTTATGAATGTATATTGTTTAAATAATCAATTCTGATCACATAACATCTCAAAAGTAGAGTATCTTGTCCTATGGTCACTATCTTTCATCAAGGGTGATGTGGGGGCAATTCCTGGGGCCATGAGTGATAGTCAAGTGGCAGCCAGCAGGAAGTGAGGTGACATACGACCAGGTTTGCGTGAGACATACCATGACAGATGTCCCGGTGTTCTGTTCAAACCCCAGTCTCACTAGAACCAGGATAATCCCAGTAAACCAGAATGTGCAGCCATTCAATCCACAGTACTTTTCAAAGGAAGAAGCTGCAGATAATGTTTTCATAATGAATGATTTTTCCCTGGCAATAATGGGGTTAAATTAGGCATCATGGGATAGGGAGTGGAGATAAAACATGTTGGGGACAGACATTTTAAACAAAGCTGATCAGTCTGTTTGTGGAGACAGATAGATTAGGCTGCATTCTTACCATACATTTTTTTTGGAAAATTCCTCCCTAGCTCAATATCAATCCCAAAAAATGACACTGGCAGATCCAATTGTCATACTGCTGCTATTTGTGGTAACTTTTGTCTCTATTCTCACTGTGAAAAGGGGCTGGAATAAGAGAGCCTGCCTGAATTCCCCTCCAGGACCACGACCTTTACCCATCCTTGGAAATCTCCACCAGCTGAACCTGAAGAGACCTTACCGAACTTTGCTTGAGGTAACACTTTCAAATGCAATGGACTGGGCAGGCTGTACTTGATCTCATAGTTGTAAATGGCAGATGGAACAATGCAAGCTAGGCAAAATGTAGGAGTCCCCATTTTTAGAAGCAGTGCGCACTGCGAGGGGAAACTCTTAATGCGGACAAAGCGGGCCCTTCGGTCTGCAGTTGTATGCTTGTTTATCTAGAACTTTGATGTGTGCTGGGCTAAACTCAACATATCTTAAAGCAGCACTGCACAAGCCTGTCGCAGGTCACGGAGAGATTGTGACAGAAACGTTCATTAATGATAATAATTAACAATACTTTCAGTACAGGCTAAACCAGGGGTGGTGGCGGTGGTGGACATGAAGGGACCCTGCAGGGGGTGCACTTATCCTGCCTGCCCTGGAGCCCCGCCCCATGTAAGCCCCCTGTCTGCAGCAGGAGCAGGTGGGCCTGGCTGGGGGTCCTGCCTCACACAGAGGTGCTGTGTAAATGCCTAGGGGGCAAAGACCAATCCAGTGTTTGCTTTGTATGTATGTTTATCAGGCCTATCTAGCACTTTTATCTCTGCTGGGCTTTATTTAATATATCTTAAAGCAGCGCTGCCAAGCTTGTCACAGGTCACGGAGAGAATGTGACACAAATGTTCATTAGTGATAATAATTAACAGTACTTTCAGTACAGGCTAAACTGGGGGTGGTGGTGGTGGTGGACATGAAGAGACCATGCGGAGAGTGTACTTATTCTGCCTGTCCTGGAGCCCTGCCCCATGGGACCCCCTGCCTGCAGCAGGAGCAGGTGGGGCATGTCTGGGGATAAGCCCCTCTGGGGTCCTCCTGCCTCACACAGAGGTGCTGTGTAAGTTCCCGATGGCCGCGGGGGCACTTTCAGCCACTGAGCTGAAGTGGTCTCTGAAGAGTCGCTCCATGCCCCTGGGGAAAGACTAATCCAGTGTTTCTCAAGCGGCCACAAGGGGGTTTTCCTGTGGCCATGACAGCCTCCTAGGCGGTGATGGGGGAGGGGGAGACGGCAAAGCATTGGCACAGCCCCTGGAGATGGTGGTGCTGAGGGACAATGCTGCAGGAGGAAGTTGAGTTCTCTTCTGTATCTATGGGGGTTTTAGCCCTGGGGTGGTTGGGAGGTGGGCTCCAGCAGCAGGACTTAGGGAGACTGGCTGTGCAGACCGGGGCTCCAGCCATGGTGCTTCGGGTGCCAACTCCCAGCTCCTGTTCCAGCTCTGGGCTCTGGCCGCTGGCACAACCCCCAGCCCCAGGTTCCAACCCAAAACCCTAGTGGCAGCTGCTGGCCCAGGCACCAATCGCCGGATGCACACGCCAACCCCCAGTCCTGGCCGCTGAGCCTGGGTGCAGATCCCTGGCCCTGGCTGTGCGGCAGCAGGCACTGACCCTGGGCTCTGAGAGACGCTGGCCCTAGGCACCAATCCCCAGCCCCAGTTGCGCAGCAGCGAGTGCTGGTTTTGGCATAGTGGCGGTGGGCACTGAGCCCCGCCTCCGGCCATGTGGCCCTGGGCTCCAGCACCCAGCTCTGGGCTCTGGCTGCGTCACAGCGGGCACTGGCCTTGGGCTCCAGCCTCTGGCCCCAGCTGTGCAGCTCTTGCCAAAGCTCCTGGTTCTGGCCACGGGCACTGATCCCTGGGCCTGGCCATACAGCTCCAGCCTCTGGCTCCGGGCTCTTGCCTTGGGTGTTGACACCAGGCCACACGGCAGCGGGTGCCAACCCTCCGCTACAGCCAGGCAGCTACAGGGCTCACCACCCACCTTCATCTCCCCTGGCTCTGCTGCCTTCCTGGCCCTGCATTCATCCTTTCATCATCCCAGGCCCCCGCTGCCTCCCCCATCCCACATCCAACCCACCATGGCCCCTGTTGACAAATGGAAAGTGTGCTGACAAATGGAACCGGGTTCAAGGAAGAGCAACAGAAACAACTAGAGGTCTGGGAAATGCATCATAAAAGGTGAGGCCAAAGAAGGCTGGTCGGTTTCACCAAGGGAAAGTTAAGAGGTGACTTGATAGTTTATAAGCACCTGCACAAGGAGAAGGTATCTGACAATAGGGGGTTCCTGAAGCTAGTCGACAAAGGCATAACGAGATCTAGTAGCTGGAAGACCAAAAGTATAACTGGCTTCAAAAAAGAATAAGATAAGTTCATGGAGGATATTAGCCAAGATGGTCAGGGATGCAACCCCATGGTCTGGGTGTTCCAAAACCTCCAACTGTCAGAATCTGGGACTGGATGACCAGGGCAGGATCACTCAAAATAGCCCAGGAATGTTCATTCCCTCTGAAGCATCTGGCACTGGCCACTGTTGAAGAGCTTATATTAGTTGGACTGTAACAGTCACATCTCATCACTTGCCTTTTGCTGTATCCCAGGCCCCATCCTTCATCTCTTCATTGTCTATTTGGGCCTTGATCCTGCAACAGGATCTGCTAGCACAGACCCCTATGCCCATGCAGTCATGCGGAGCCAAATGGTACGTAGATTTTATGCCCCTTGGAGCAAGGCCCATCGTCATGTTCTGTGTTTGTACAACATCTAGCACCATGGAGTCCTGGTCCCTGACGGAGCTCCTAAATGTTACGGTAACACCGATGAGAAATAATAATAATGAGAGTCCATGCAGACAGAAGGCTCTGCACAAGCAGCTTTCAAAGCAAGATTGGAGCCAAGATTGTCAGCTATTCGAGGAGAGCACTGTGTATTCCTATCTGTCTGCAAAGCACGGAGCATATATTTGGTGATATTCATAATATCAACGATCACAAGCCCATCTACAGAAAAACCACTGATTCACTTTGGCCTTGAAATAAATGTACAGTGTAAGAACTAGGCTCAGTAAAGTTGGTCACAAAATAATTTGTTTATTGTTCATTGTTCATTGTTTTGTTTTTGTTCAAAGATTGAACAAAATAGTGTTTTGTGAAATCCTGACAAATGTCAATTAAAAATCATTTTTGTTAAATTTGTATGTGTGAAAAGGAAATAAGTTCCTGTCCAGTTCTAATGGTCAGTATTTGCTGCTAACTGGTATTCTGTAGCCCATTATACTGTCTGTAATTGCTGTATGCGGGTAGAGGTGGATATAGGTCCTTTACAGAATTCCCTCCTGAGGGCAATTCCCAGGGAGCCAAGCATTGTCTCATTTGTAGAACCTGTTTTTCTTTTAAACAGGGTTACAAAGCTAATGAGTTTACATGGTAAGTTTGTCATAGACATTAGTGCAAAGCCTGGTCCTATGTTTCAATAAGTAGGACACTAGCCTAGGCCATGGAGACTTGTCTTCAATTCCCTGCTCTGCCAAAGACTTCCTGTGTGACCTTAGGCAAGTCACTCTGTGCCTCAATTCCCTGCCTGTAAAATGGGCTGATAGCACTTCTCTACCTCACAGGGTGCTCTGAGGGTACATTAAAGATTGTTTCAGTGGGTGTTGGACACACTCTATGTACCCAGCATTCTTAAGCTCTATGCCCATATTATAGCAAAACTTAAAACCTTACGATGCTTTTGCCGAACAAAATAAACAGCAGCAGGAGAGCAGCAGTGTGTATAACTGTCTCTTGTCCGGATGTTGAACCTGGCACTTGTTCAGTCAGCTATATTTGCAGGCAGAAGAAAAAGACACAGCTCTAGCTTGTGTATTTTAAAATCAAATTGAAACAGTTTCTATAAGAGTAGCATGGAAATATATAATGCTTTCCCCCTCCTCCCTATATTTAAGCTGTCTGAGAAATATGGCCCAGTCTTCAGCATTCAGATGGGACCCAAGAATATGGTGGTGCTGTCGGGATACAAGATGGTGAAGGAGGCTCTTGTGAACCAGGCAGATGCATTTGCAGAAAGGCCTAAAATCCCAATATTTGAAAAATTTGCAAGAGGAAATGGTGAGATTTCTTTTCTCTCTTACCTAATGATAAGACTGTTTTATGCTCTGACCATTGTAAACATTCTTCTTCTGACAGGGATTTGTTCTGAAGGGCCGAGAAATCGAAATAGTTTGGAGAGCATAAATTATTACTTGTATGCTTCCATGCAGCAGTTTTGTTGCTGCCAAAGATAAGACCAAGACACTGGGGACTCGATACAAAAATGTTACAGGAGATATACAAAGGGGCATTATTTAGGGTTACCA